TTATAACATAAAATTTACCCAAAATTCATAATTTATAAATTTAAATATATAATATATAATTTCTAAATAAAACAAAAATTATATATAATTTATGTTATAAATATTCTGTACATAATTTTAACAATTATATTAATTATATAATATATTAATAAAAACAGAATGTTGCTTTTCAAGTAGCAACCAGTGCATCGAGGCAGAAAAAAATGTGATTGTCTACTAGACAATCTAAAGTAAACTGAGAAACTATTAAGAAAATCTTCAAATTTATAATATAAATATGCAAAATCAATAGGTTTCTCATATGTCAGAAATAATTGACTTTACTTAAAGAAAAATATTTAGGAAAATAAAAGAAGACTTGAATAAGTAGAGAGAGACTGTATTTTTGCTTCAGAATTAATATATTTTAAACATATGAATTCACCATAAATTAATCTATTAATTTACTGTAGTCCCAAATAAAATTCTAACAAGACTGAAGTTGGCATGTGATAAACTGATTGTAAATTGCACCCAGCATATACTTGTGAGAGTAGCCAAGAAAAATGAGAAAGATCAGACCAATGTAAAGAAACTTGTGAAGATAGATACTAAAGCAAATTGTAAAATATATCAATAAAACTGTGTAAAACTAAAGTTAGATCTTCCTCTTAAACCATGCACTTAAAATAATTTCATATGCACTAAGGATTGAAATATAAAAATAAAGTATATAAATGTTAGAAGACAATAACTATATTCTTGGGCTAAAATGTTTTCAATAAATACATTCAGGAACCATAAAGGAAAAGATTAATAAATCTAACTATATAGAAATGGAAAATTGCTATAGGTAAAATACACACACACACACACACACACACCCCAAGGACACACTGGTAGAGGATGTGCAATATCTATGACAGATGGGAGATTAGCATTTCCCGCTACTACACAAATAGCTTTTACATAGCAGTAAGGGAAGAAAATGCCTGGTAGAAAAAAAGAGGAGTAACCATGAATTGACAATGACACAAAATCACGTAGAAAAATATAATCTCACTTTTCTACTTAACATTTCCCCATGTCATTAAATATTGTTCAGAAATGTGACTTAAAGACTACACAACATTCCATTGTATGGATGTACCAATATTTATTTACCTATCTCGTCAGGCTTCTCTGTCCTTTCCACACCCACTACCAACAATACTATATAATAAAAGCCCAGCGAACCGATGGTGGAATGACCAGAATGACCAGTTGACCAGTCGCTATGACACACACTGATCACCTGGGGGCAGAGCTCAATACAGGAGCTTTTCCCGGTGGTCAGTGCACTACCACAGTGGGAGTGCCACTCAGCTGACTGGGATGAGCGTCGCTCCCAAAGCGGATTGATCCCACAGGCCATGCCTCCCACCAGTGCACGAATCCTGCACACTGGGCCTCTAGTAAGTTTAATAATAGGCTTTGTGTCTGATAAAATATATTTATACATACTTTTGACAAAGTGTGGAAACATTTAAATGTGTACTGTTTATTAAACATTTAATCCTTAGAGCTGTTTGTGGACATAATTGGAAGAAAGTAAATTTCTCTAACTTTTCATGGTAAATGCTCCTTTCTTCCTTCTAGTTTTCCCAAGTTTCACCCCAACACCTCTATGAATGGGTTCAGTATCCTCAGGCTGTTTGGGTCCATTTGCTCTAAATGGTTCAAAAAAATCTACAAAATGATTTTATACAATTTATGATAGGATTAATATTTGTGTCTCCTCCTTAAGTATTTGCACTTCAATTTTTTTTTGGCACATGTGAGGGTTGTCAAAGAGTTTTCACATGCTTCTATGACCTGAACTTTGCTCCAAGGGCCTAGGAGTGGGGCAGGAATTGTGGTCTTCATCTGAGAGCGGTGAGGTAATTTAGGGAAACCCCAACACACAACAGGCGTACTGGGCTTAGAATCCAGGCCTTCTCATTGGGGTCCAGTGCCCTTCCCACTCTACTGGTCCACTTCCTTCTACAAGAGGAGGCCAAAGATGGCCATGATGGAACCTTGTAGAGAAGATGACTACCACATTACATCATGTCAGGTTCTTAACCTACTCACCTAGAACAACATTCATCATCTATGTCTACCTGACCTTGGAAGGTGAGTGGATGGGAATTTGTTCCCCACTCTCAGCACCTCTGGTTATGGGGAACATTCTGGACAGCATCCCATGGCCCTCACCCCCGGGCCCAGCATGTCAGGGCCACGGCTCCCCCCGATCCTAGGGCACAGGGAAAGCATGCCCGTTCTACTACCTTTGATGGCCTCTTTCACAGTAGAATCCACAGGGAGTATGTTCTTCTCCACCAGCTCCAGCGGCCCCGGCCGGAGAGCAATTTTTTCGTTGAGATCATCTGCAAGTCGGGCTCTTTTCAGCTTCATCTGAGCAGCGGGAAGAGACCTCTCTGCCGTGGAGGCTAAGCGGGGGGGAAGGAAGGAAAAGGATCAGCTCTCCAATGCCATGTTATTTTTGATTTGTTGCACTTGTAACCAAACATTGTGTCATCTGGTGCTCTACCATCCCAATAATTTTTTAATGCAGTCATCATTATTTCGCATGGATTAGCAACAAAAACTAGGCACTTCCAAAGAAAGGCAAATAGTGAGTCAGGCAAACAGAAAAGTTAGAGAAACTTGCTTTGTAAGGATTTTTTTTTTTTTATAAAAAATGTGCAGTTTGGTGATTCTGTAAGCAAGTAGTACACGGGGTCTACATTGCTTGCTGACCCTAAGCTACAACCTTTGGATGCACATCCTGTGTGTATGCTGGTACAGGCTGAGCCTGCAGAAAATGTTACCTATTCTTTCTTTTAAATGTATATTTATTGATTTCAGAGAGGAAGGGATAGGGAGAGAGACATAGAAACATCAATGATGAGAGAGAATCATTGTTGGCTGCCTCCTGCATGCCCCAGACTGGGGATCAAGCCCAAAACTCAGGCATGTGCCCTGACTGGTAATTGAACCATGACCTCCTGGTTTATAGATCAACGCTCAACCACTGGACCATGCCAGCCAGGCCATGACCTATTCTTATAATGATATATTCTTAAGGCTTTTATACTTATCAGTGTGATGTTAATTTAAATGTCCAGGTCAGCTGTAAAAGAAAAAAGTTTCATTTAAAACAGTTATCTAATTAAACAGAGAGATCTTGACAATGGAATTTATCCAACAAGCAGTTTATGATTATTTGGAGGGTGAAAAAGGTCACTAACAGAGCCCTAAGCTACCCCATGTTCCTCTGTCAGTTAGGCCCTGACTTACTTCTGTGGACAAACTTGGAGGAGAATCTAGCCAGCCAGGTGTTGCTATAATGCTGAACTGTAAGCTAAGATTCCTTAAAACTTTACAACTTTACTCTCAACTTGGCACATTTAGAAGGTGAGATATTTACAGACAAGCCTCAAGCCCATTGTTCTGTTATTTCCATCCTACTAGGCCAGGCCATGTCTGATCTAGCAATCTTCACCCAGCAGAGATGTCTAATTGTGGCAGCAGGCCGGGCTTGTCAAAGCTCTACCTGCAAAGCCCTTGATGTGAGAGATAGAAACTCCCCACTTAGAATCTTAGATTAACAACTGGGTGTCATTTTTAATTATTTATATTTATTGTTAGGGCTATATTTCCCCACCACAGAATCTGACTGTAAATACAGCTCATGTATATGGTTTTTCTTCCCTGAATTGGATTACAAATGGGTTTTTTTGTTTGTTTGTTTTTCACTAAACATCATCATGTAGACCTTTTCTCCTTAAATCATTATCCTTTTAAAGCCTTCTTTGTGGTGGCTTCGAGGTATTTAATCATATGGCTGATGAGTAATTTATTCAGCCCCTCCTTCATTGTTATACAGTTCACCATTTGCCATGTCTCACTATCTGAAGTAATTCCACAGTGAACACCATTGTACATCAATTTCTGCATGTCTGATTATTTTTTCTGGATAAAATACAGGCATACACGTTTTATTGTGCTTTGCTTATTGCACTTCACAGATGTTGCATTTTTACAAATTGAAGAAAAGGCCTTCCACCACCAAAAGCTTACAACTCACTTACTTTATTGTGGTACTTGCTTGACTGTGGTGGTCTGGAACCCCACCTGAAATATCACTGAGATATACCTGCACTAGAAACTTCCTACTGGGCTAAAGGGTAGACACATTGTAAAGGAATTTGATGTAAGTATGTTAACATTCCCTATGTACTCAGAAGTAGCACAGCTAAGATTAGAACACAAGTGTGAGACCTTCCTAGCCATTATACGGCTTCCCCATTTGATTGTTTAAGTGGCCTAGAGCCGTGGTTGGCAAACTGCGGCTCGTGAGCCACATGCGGCTCTTTAGCCCCTTGAGTATGGCTCTTTCTAAGCTGTAGAGTACCCTAATTAAGTTAATAACAATGTACCTACCTATATTGTTTAACTTTTAAAAAATTTGGCTCTCAAAAGAAATTTCAGTCATTGTACTGTTGATATTTGGCTCTGTTGACTAATGAGTTTGCCGATCACTGGCCTAGAGTGACTAGGTGACTTCTCAAAAGGATCAGTTTCCAATGTCAGGGGACACTTTCCATGAAGTCTTAGCAACTGTGCAGAGACAAAGGGCTCTGGCAGAATGGCCCAGCCCTGAGCGGGCATCTGGTCTACCAGCGTGGCTTTGCGCAGCCTTACCCTGGAGTATGTGCATAGTAGCCGAGTGGGCGCGGTCGGGCCTGCTTCTGACCTTGCGCTGCAGGGCGTCTTCTGTCTGCAGGCACAAGCAGAACACACTGTCACCACCACACAGGGCCCCGCCGCCTGGTTCTAACTGCCAAAGAAACCTGAGCTTCCTCAAAGGGGAGAGCAGTCTTTCTATGACACATGGAGCATGCAAATAGCCCTGGTCTACGTTTTCACACAGAAACACTTACAAAAGTCTCTTTAATGGATTTCAGGATGAAAGATAAAGAGGTAAAAAGCTTGAGTCCCCGTCAGGGCTACACAGTGAAAGGCCAGGCAGGTACAAGTTAATAAATATGAATGAAGCTGCACTGCTTCTATTATAGTGAACCCTGCACTCTTCCACTGCCTTGGAAACCGACCACAACATTCATCAGGGTTAGAGTTGGCACCTAATCTGAGTCCATCACCGCGACAACAGATGCCCTCCTCCTGTTAGCCACCAGTTTCTCTCTGAGGCCCATCCTGAGTTGAAAGGACACTTAGGAACAGACTATTTGCTGAGCCCTTGGTGATGGGCTGTCTGTGGGGTGGTGCAGGCTGTGGCAGGGCCACACTGGGCCTTCGCTCTGACTTTTAGCTCTTGTTGTTAATCCCACTACATTGGATCTCCTATCTGGCCCCTGAGAGGCGTCTGGAGACAACTCGAGTTCTGATTTTAAATAAAAACAAAACCTGGTTCCTCTCCAGAGAGTGGGGACCACTGCCTGTCACGAGCGCCTTTGAGGGATCACAGCTCGGCTCCTTTCTCCACCCAGACCAGCGGCCAGGCTGAGGCTCAGAGACGCCAGGAGACACCTCCCGGCAGGTCTTCCCCTGCAGAGCGCTGGCGCTTGCTAAGTTGTACTTATATTATCCACAAGTTCAGGTGGCAGAGATGTGCTAGAAGGTGCAGAATACACACAAATTTCTCCCCCAAATGCCACAAAACCCAGAAACAGAAATAAACTCAGTGCCCTTTGCCTTAAGTAACTGCAAATAAGGTCTGTGTCCACAGCCCGACCTCACCACTGAGCTGCCTTAAAAACACCTGATTGTTGCTGAGACAGGGCTATAATGACAGGCACAGCCGCCGCGAACCAACTCTGACTCCTACTGTAAAGTCTCTGACTTCTGCTGCAGCCTTGCAGTGACCCCCACATCAGAAAGACTGGGGGCATTTTTTCAAGCTAAAAAGTAACAGTTTTAAAGCTGATGTAGCTGACCCCACTTCCAGTTTTCCGTTCATCACAGGAAGATTTCATATGGCATGCGGGCAGGGCGCTGGCAAACGGGCTGAGTTTCTTGGAGAAATTCTACCTGCTCTAGGCGAGGCCGAGCATTCAGAGACCCAGCCCTGGAGTCTAAGTTCAGGAAGAAGGCAGTTGGCAGGCAGTTACCTGGTCACTGTCCGAATGCTTTCTTTGCTCATGGAACACAGTTGGACCTCTCAGCGCTGAAACAGAAAGACGCAGACGTGAGCAGGGCGGCTCAGGGGCTCTGAACATTTCTCAGGGTTTGCTGGTGCGCTGGCCGAGCTGTGCACAGTACGGACGTGGGCTCCTTGACAGGCCACAAGCAATGGAGGAGGAAAGGCCTGGAGGACACAGCTTCCCTAAAGCCACAGGACACAGAGGAAGGTGGGATTTCGGCCTAAAACAGGAGGAGCAGCACAGGCAGAGGCGACAGGAAGAGACATGGTGGCGACAGGGCATTCGGGTTCCTGAGGAAGTACAGGGGTCTATGGGAAGTTGGGGACAGGAGTCATGCTCCGGTTTGAGGGGTAGGGGGAGGCTGGGGTAAGTAACACCCTCTTTGACTTTGTTCTGCCCTTGAGTGCAAAAGACTGGGTGGAAGCTGTGGTCTGTGGGAGGGGGCCCCATATCGTAAGAAGGGATGGGTACCTTGGATGTGGTGTGTGGCTCATTGGTCGGAACATGCAACTGAGAGTGTTGATTTGAGAAGAACGGAATCAGACTTTGAGGGCTGGAAGGGACCTTGGAGATAATGAAACACAACTCCAACCCTGACCAGAGTGGGGAAACTGAGGCCCACAGAAATTGGTTGACTTGCCCTGGGTCACACTGTTCGGGCTAGAAGCCTAGGCCCCCTGACAACCTGACTTCTTTCAAGGTGTGTGTCCAAGATACTAACAAGCTGTGGCACAGGCACGGGTCAGTCACTGCACACAGCTGCTCTTGACGACCTGACGGGACGCCAGCCTCCATCTCTCCGCCTTGCCCTGGTTTTCCTACGATCTCACAGCTCCCCCTCCTGACCATTTACCCAGGCCTCTTGACTCAGCACAGAAGTAGACCATCATTCAACAGAATTCTCCATTTTTTTAAATTAGTTTTTCTGATCCCCCGGAACAATCTCCACTGAGTATCTTTGTGTGTAAGTCTGAACAAGTGGACCCACAGTTCTAATATTCCTCCCACAGGTGTCCACCATTAAGCTGCAGGCAATGAAATATTCTCCCAAATTTTGGCCAGAAAAAACTTGGAAGATCATACTAAATTTGAGCAATTTTCAAAAGGGTGTGCTGGACAGTAAGCCATCTCCTTTGGAGTCCTGGTGGCTGGTAGATTGTGTTACCCTCTATCGAGGACACTGCTTGGAAGGTACTAAGCACACGCTCTCTAAACCCTGCTGTCTCACTCCAGCATTGACAATGTTATCCAAAGGAACATGCAGAATAGTCCCAGCTGTTTGCCTTGTGCCAAGTGTACTGGACTAGCCCCTTCTTATACTTTGAGCAGATTAAGAGGCTTCCCTTCTTATAGAAAAAAATTAAATATGTTGCTTGAATATGACTATTGCTCTAACACCAGTCTCTCTTGGCTGCTTTCACTCTTCCAATGGGCTTCTTCGCAAAACCTGCCATTTCAAATGCCCCTGCCCCTTCCCTCCTTTTGTCCTCAATCAGTGGCTCTGAGACATCAGCTGGAGAAATGCGTGGTTCAACTGCGATGATCATGAGGTTTCTCCTATTTGGGTCTAGTTGCCATCCTTAGTAAGGAGGCTCGCCTTTTCCTGCATTTGATCACAGCTGCGATTCGTATTGATGGAGTTCTGAAAGCAACTCCCGTTTCCGTAGGCAACCAGATCCTACACATCTGCTTGGAGTCCAGTGGGCCCTGGTGGATCTCACAGTCTGAACTGATAGGTCTTCACCTGCATCCTACACGCTGGTGTTCACCGAAGTAGGTGCTATGGACTGCTATGGTTTAGTCACTTCTGACCCAGAGGAGGAATCGATCTCAGTGTGGCCTGGTTAAGTGGCTGAAAAGAACAGCACCTCCTTTTCCTTAAGAAGCACCCCTAAGGGAACACTATGACTGCATCTTGAGATATCGCTTACATGCAAACTCAATTGGTTGTAATTGGGCTTAAGACTTAGGAGAAATTTATCTGGTTCTCTTGTCCCTGAAGCTCTTCACTTTCTAAGGGAGTTTATTCATTGTTCTAAGAAACATTGCATTTCCTGTATCTTAGCTTGTCAAGCTATAATTCATCACTTCTTGGTGTTAACAGCTCTCCCGTGAAATGATTCATACAGCCCAGATCCATTGCCAGGGCACAAAAGTCTTCTGGAACCTTCTAACACAAGGTGGGAGAAGCTAAGTCCATTCAGCAAGGACTCAGGAGGAAGTCAAAGGGGTCGACACACTGCATTTTACAACATGCTCTTCTCCTCAGGGCTCAAGGCAAGCTCCATGATGCAGGTCGCACTGTGGACAGCCACCCTGCCATGGCCCTGCCGCAGACACTGGCCTATTCTGGGCTCCGGAGAATGTGGGTTTAACCTCCTCCCCTGAGGGCCAGCAGAGGCCACAATGCAACCCCCACCCCAAGTTCAGTTTTTGGAAAACACATAGAGGACTCTGCTGCTGCCAACCCTGGGAGTGTCAACCAGCAACATTTTGTATCTAAGGGACATTGGCATTTCAGATCGACAAGGAATTTTAATTTCTAAATTAAAAAAAGAAATCAAATTAAAATTCTTTGTAAATTCACTCATGCACTCATCACATTCTCCCCTAGAGGAAGATAATCGTTTCTCACAAGAGAATTCACATTCTCACCTCAGAGTTGGTTACAACTAGCTGGGTCAGCTGTGAGCATAAACCCTGTTCTCTCAGGAAAGATCCCAGGCCTCCTGGAGCCCTGCTCTGCACTCTAACCTCATATCTTCATCGGGGGCCCGGTAAAAGCAGAAAATAGATCTTGGGGAACTTTAATCCATTGAGGAGAGGGGCCAGCACAGGGGAGGGGACTGGTGTTGGTGGCAGCTCTGACAGCTGTGCCTGAAGCAGGACCTGCCTTCTCTCACCAGCTGCTCACTCCCCGGCTACGGGGGAGAGAACACAGCTCCTTGCGTATTTCTGATAAAGATCAAGAGGCAGAATCAAAGAGCCAAAGACCTGGGGCAGCAACTGGAACTCCAAGTGGTTCTCAAAGTGTGGCCCCCGGGCCAGCATCTTCAGCATCACCTGGAAACTTGCCAAGAATGCCAATCCTTGGCCCCACCCAAGACCTCAGGACCCCAAACTCCAGAGGTGTGGGAGCAGGGGGCTGTGTTTTAACAAGCCCTGTGGGTGACTCCGATGCACACATTTGAGAACGGCTGCTATGGAGTTTATAAGGCAGTGGGTCTTGATCTAGGGTCCCTGGGAGTTCAGAAGGGAGTGATGGTTTCTCTGGGTGATGGTCAATATTTCAGAAAGCTGAAGGAGAAGGGTGTGTTGCCCAGAGGAAAAGCCTGCCCAAGCAAATGGAACTATCACTTTTCACTGCTGCTGCCTAGACTCACAGCAACTTGGTTCAGTAATGGGTGTCCTCATGGAAATCATTGGTTGGTAAGTTTATGTGACAGTAATTAATCAAAGACAGACATAGGGTTAATCATTCATGTATGTAGAGTTCTTTGGGAGGAAGATGGAATGAATTCAAACATTTGATCTATGGCAGGGATAGGTTTGCTTAAAGAAGTTTTGGATGACTAAATTATGGGGAACCATCAATTTAGGCTCTATCTGGGCTTTGCATCTATTTTTGGTGTGGCTTTGAACAAGTTTATGGTCTTCCTGTGTTCTCAGTTTCCCATTTATAAAATGGGTTTAGTAATGCTCTCTTTGCCTCACTCTTAAAGACAAATTGGGTCATGAGTATTTTTATTCCAAGTAGCTGTGTGTTATCACTATGCCATGCAGAAATGATAACACTTTGGAAATTATAGGCTCTTTAGGTTGGCAATATTGTCAATCCAGTCTCCAAATGAGAGTCTCAGGGGTCTTCCCAATGTAGCTTTGCTATACTTAAGACCTGGCTTGAGCACCTGGACAAGTTGATGGAGCATAGGTGGAAATTTTGGAATTTGTCAGGAGAAGGGTACAAAGACAAATTCAAAGTATGCCAGGAACTACTGGTTTACTTATTTCTAAGGATCAAGAAACCAGAAAATTGAAGGAAAAGGGGGGTGGGGGGCAGAAGGGATTTAGGATTGTTCACCCAAATGGGGTGGCCACGAAAATCCAGGGTGCCTTTTCCTATCTCTGCATTTGAGATGTGAGAAAGAAGGGAAGAGGCAGACAGACTGAAACCCTTGTGCCGTGTTCTGCTCAAACAGCCAACAGTGTGTGGTAGGTGCCGTGGGGATAAGCCAAGTCAAATGGATGCACTGAGAAAAGGAGGAAAGGCTTTGCCCACTCAACGTCTCAGAACTATCAGGAAGCTGCATGTGGTGCGGGCACAGGGACTGCCCAGTCATCCTTCTTGCTATGCAGGAGGAGTATCACAGAACTCAGGGATTTACCAAGGCTTTGCAGTAAGTATGTGGCTGCGGTGGCTTGGATTAGTCTGCAAAACAAATAAAGGCAGCACCATTCATAGACAGCTCATCGCATCTTTAAATTCATTTACATTGACCAGATCACGGAGCCAAGCTGCCCAGGCATCGCGCCCTGAGCAGCGGCGGCTTGCTCGGAGTCTCCGTGGAGAGTCACAGCCGCTCTGGGCCCCAGCCCTCCACCATCCATCTCAGTTCTCTCATCTCGTTCTCTGTGTTCCAGGACAGTCAACTAAATGTTCTCTCCTCTCTCCCCGGGGTTCATAGAGATTAGCTCCACTTTTATCGCAGCGGGAAAGAGAAAGAGAAAGTAATTGATTTCCTTCAATCCTCCCAGATACCCACTCCCACGCAGTGATGTAATGTTGTCCAATATTGTTAATGGGGACAATTAAATAGGGGTGCTTTGGGGCCCCTTCTAGATTGTAAGCACTTAGAAACACATGTCGGACTCTTCTGGGCTCCACAGGGCCTTCCTCACAGCAGATAGTCAAAATATTTACGGACTTGCTCTTGATCCTTGAGAGCACCTAATCCATATAGCTGATCACCCTTCTGCACCAAGGCTTCGGAAATGGTTGGAATAAAATTGTGTCATCTAAGATTCTACCCAGGACAGCAATGCTCAAGAAAAAAATAACTTGTAGCTAAGACAAT